GATGTGGTCAGCATCAAGCCGGCCGCCTTTACTTTCAGGGAATGCACCCGGTACCCACACAAGGCTGGGTCGACCTGGGAGCCAAGGTCATTTTTTAAAAAAGTCGGGCTCCACCAGGAAGCAAACTCACAACCTTCTCCATGGCGACTCCCACACAAATTAGGTACTATAATTTCTGTTGACTTCCCATATTGATTCTGTATATGGTGCTAAGTCAATCGCTTTTGTGGCTAAGCAGTTTAACATTAAACCTCACATTCTGAAGGTAACAGGTTCAGTTGACTACATGGTTGTGTTACATTTTTACGGAGATCCACTGGGATTATCACTGGAGCTATGAAAATCGTGCTTTATGCAAAACTCTCGGCAAACAGATAGGCCTTCTGTATGGTGGGTTGAGCCAAATCACGTGACAAAACCCAATGTAATGCAATGAAGAGGATACTCTCGACTTAAAACCTTTACTGTGGTAGTCTCATTTAAAAACCAAACAGCACTTCTGCTTCACACTGACCAGTTGTAAACTCCAGCTGAAAGCTCTGGTCATTTGTCCACCTCTGGACTTTAGTCTTGTTCCAATACTTGAGTTCTGAATGCACATTCGTTTGAAAAATCTTGCAAATTTGTGCGCAGACTGCTGGTTCCTCACCTCTCAGGCAGATGCTGTCCAACTTCGAAGGAAGCCCCTATTAGTAGACCCCTATGGCAGTGGGGATATTCTTGCTATCACCCACAACAGGACCTAGAACCCTCACAATTAGCACCTGATAAGCAACATTGTCTTGCTGCTCCAGTACTGAATCATTTAAATCCGCTTCCCTTACCAGTTCAAACAGTGAATGATACATATACCCCCCCCCCCCCCCCCTTTGAGGGAGGGGGGGGGCGATGAGGGGGGAATACCCCCAACAACTTTTAACGAAGTGGTGACTAGACTAGGAATCTGCAGTCATGACCAGACTACAATAACAGATTGTTAAAAGAGGTGTGGCTAAGCAAGAGCACTATGCAGAAAAAAAGAATAAAATAATCAATACAGGACTAGTGTCATCAGCCACTATATGCTGAGGGAGTTACTGAGAAAGGGAATGAGCAATAATAGACTGAATGGTGCAATGAGGATAATCTGCTGACTAACAAATTGAGAAAAAAGTTTTATGAAGCACCTAGGTGAAGTTGAGTTTACAGAACATCTGTTGGCAGCCTGAAATTGTGAACTGCAGGTAAAATAGGCAGCTACCCTAGTAAGTTTAACAATTTAAAATCCCACCTACACAGAAGAATATTTAAAGCATTTTGTATTCTAAAAGACACAAATCTGGATTATTGTCAGTTGTACCCCGTTCATGCACTGTGCTGAAGTTCTCTTTGTATCAACAAGGGGGTTATCTGTGAAAGTGTTCATTAACATCACCCGAGTTACGAGTGTGTGATAGGCAGTTGCTACCATTTTACTCTGCGCTGGATGCTGAAGATGGGCATAGAGTGCATATGGGAATGTGTCTTGAATGCTTTGATGTCAGTTCTTAATTCAACTAAACTCAGCTCAGTGGTCAGTAACTAAAACAACATTTTAAAAAATGGGGAAAACAACATTAACATACTAGCAGCCATTTTTTAAAAACAAAGACAAACAAGCAGATGCCACAACTGACCTGACATATTTTGCTTATCTTCTCAGGTAAATGCTACAGAATTAAATCAATGTAAAATGAAGCACAACAATTAATCCTTCTAGCTGAAATAAATAACACACAGTCAAGTTCTTTCATATCAGCATTAAAATGGTAGTTTCAACTAATTCTAACATGCCTTGAATAATAGTTGTTTATAGACAATCTTGAAAATATCTCCTTTTTCATTCTGAATGTCGTATTAACAGTAACCTGAAGCAAAGTATCTGCTAACTCTCACTCCATCAAGCTCTGGTCAGTTGTCTTCCATGAGTACTTGTAATTAAGTAAATCCACCTCGCCCTTTCCTTGAGCGTTGAGCGTCTGCCAGATCCTCTGGTAACTCCTGGCAGCGCCATTCTCCTCAGACCATAATGATCTATTTGCACTTCAGCACTGTTCATTCGCTCCCAGAGGGCGCTCACAACGTCTGGCTTTACATACATCAGTTCCCCACCAAATGGTGAAGAAATGGCCAGTCTATCTGCCTGCTTATTTCCCAACACACCGACATGATCTGGAGAGAATATCCAAAGGATACTAACTACCCAGGACCTCTGCTTCGATGCCTGCCACTCTGCACTTGTAAAAAAAGAAGCAAATGTAAATAATAACCAATGTGGCTTCAGCCAAAACATTTTTCCCATGCATGCTTTCTAAGTGATTCCATGAGCATGCATAAGAAGACTCAGACAGGATTAGCTCGAAGACAATAGTAGGAGTCAATGGGGAAATCACATCTGACAGGAATCAGTTTCATTTTTGTACCAGGGCACACTGGGGTACGATGGAGTGAACGAAAGGATTGGCTTGCTGGTAGGGCCACTGTAAGTACAGCAATAGCCTTCCTTCCAGCTGTTCTGCTGTAAAAAGTGTCCAATGCACTTTCATCTACAAATAAGAGACTAAAAGATGAGATATGTAATAATGCTTTTGTTAACTGACCTTGGTTAACCCAGCCTAAAAAAGGTGATCATCCTAAAAGTTGAGGTATCTGGTGTGATGATGTCTACATCATTTACTGAATGCCACTGAGTCTATACAAAAATTGAATGGGTCTAACATGATCCTTCTGACTCATGTCTGGCAGGAAAACAGTTTTTTTTTAAAGATGAGGAAAGAGTCGGCATAGAGAAGAAGATGTGTCTGAATACTAGTCAACCCATATTATTATGCATTAATCAATCAATTTTTATTTATGTCATAGTCTATCATACACAGATCTCTAACAACACAGAGAGTGACACAAGTAATCTTTAAAAACATACTCTGATTGCATAGTTGGAGACTGAATAATGGCAAAATAAGATAAATATAACTTCCCAAAAAAATCAATTTACACATAATAAACTTATGGCTATAAATGGATTCCTGAAATTTCACAATCATGGAAAATAATGTACCAGATTGGTGAACTATTCCAAAAGTGGAATATAATGCTTCACAACATATAAGACTATAAATGTACCAGAATCAATTCTGTTTCACCCAGCTTGAAGTAAATGGTTTCATTCAACTAGAATAAGTTCTCCTATAGAATGCTTTCTATGCTCTTTCTGTATCACTGTCACCACTGTACCATTGCTGGCATCTGCATGGATGTTTCTCTGGGCTGAGAGGAATACAGGTTATTTGGTAAAGCAGACACTATGCCTTACACATGAAATATTTAACAACATGGATGTCACAACTCAGGCTTAGGTGGTAGGTAGGAGATTTGCTTAAAAAAATACTTTAAAAAACAAACAATCGTCATGTTCAACCAGTGTCCCCGAAGAGGGAGCTGTGGTTTTTATTTTTGTGCTAAATTAAATGGCTTAGAGCTGCACGCTACCAAGAGCCCTGAAAAGGATTCCTTCTGTAGTGTCAATGCGATCAAAGAAGCCAGACTAAATATTGTCCCAACCGGAGACAAAGTGGTCTACTGGTGAGCCAATAGGCTGATGATGGATTCAGGCTTAGTCCAAGCTTATTCAAACGTGCTGGGTTGACTTATGACCTGGCTACATATTAATATGTCTCTCCTTGAATTCTGGCCTTGTTAGTTAAGTTAGTTGAGGTTCGAACATCACTGTAGCTGGGTCGCCCTGTAACTACTCCACTCCTGTGCCAATGGAGATCACACAGCATGTCCTTCACTGTCCACTTTGAAAAACTAGCAAAAAACTTCTCAGTACCAGCAAAATCTTGCACACACACATAAAAAAGGATAAGGTAGCATTCAGATGTGCCAACACTAAGGGTCCTAAACAAGAACTGCAGCTCATTGTTGGTGCGAATGGTCATCACAAAAGCCAGCATTATACCTGTTAAGTACATGCTATTATTAACCATTTTAGAACAGTAAACGAAAGTCCTGGGGCACAACAGAAAAACAATTCCATATGAAATCCACAGCTCACAGTGATGCATTAAGCACTAAACCAGTAGCTGCGGGATGGAACCTTTAGACACCCGGTCCACAAATGAGAAATTTGCATCAACAAAACCTAACTGGAAACAAATAGGTGGTCAGCTGGCTAGTGGTCATTTTGGCTGGAAGTGTTATCTATTGACTTGTATACCCATAAGTCTGTGAGCTTGTAGTGTGGAAGAAGAGCTCTGCAACACAGTCCCCATGAATACTATTCTCTAGCACCAGGCTGTGAGTTAATTCTCTATAAATACTTAACTCTAATAGATGGTCACTTTTTTCAGGACTCTCCTTCCTTTTCTTCGTCACATTCATTGCTGTAAACTCAGGTGGACAATTCTGGTTGACTGCCCAACTTCTGGACTCTGGTGTTCCAGAACTTGAGTCCTGAGTGCACATATTTTACAGATCTGGCTTGTTTGTATGCAGAATGTTGATTCTCATCTCTCAGGCAGATGCATCCATACTTTGAAATAAACACCCCTAATTAGTCGGCTTTTTACTAAATGCTTGTTGAGGGGAGGGGGAGAGGGGGCGGCTGATGCATAACCAGCTAGATGTAGTTGAGGCTCTTTGGAAACGTGTGGAATGTGAAAGCATGAATAAACAATTACAGTGTACAGAGAATGGAAAAGAGGAATGAAAAGATGGACACATAATCAAACCAATACTGGCATCATTTGCACTGGAGCTCTTTGCTGACTACTGAAGATGAGGACAGAGTGCTACCAGTACTGTATTGTCGTTCCTAACTCAACCCAACTATGCATGTTCTTTCTCTGAAGATTATCGCCTTAACTCTCTAGTATTTAGTAATCTGCATCTACTGTGCGTATCTCTGACTACTTTCAAAGCTTGTCTAATGAAGAAGATTTCAAAACCTAACCAACCAAAAAATAACAAATAAAAATGTGTTATGACAACAGCTGGAGCAAGCTCTGGGGTTCTGGCTTCTCCGCCATGCCAAATGGAGTAAACCCACAATCACATACAGACTTGTAGGTTGCAGGTCCCAAAGCTATTATCTGCAAAAGATTAAAAAAAGCAATTAAATTATGAAACAAATGGTTGCCCCTAAAACACTTGCCTAGCTTCCTCATTTCAGCAGGCAGTTCCACAGCACTCAGTGCTCCTGGGGTGTAAGCTTTCAGGCCTTTATATAATCTAGGCTATGTCATACAAGGTGGGTTGGTAACTTCCCCTCCTTACTGTCAATCATTTCCATACAATTTCCAGAGAATTCTTAGGTCAGATCAGCCCCATGGATCTAATGGTAGGAAAAAAATTATCCAGGCGTTGCTGGGATTGAATTTAGGCCACAATCCTGACAGGTAAACAAACTTAACACTATGCCAGTAAGCTCTTTCATGGGTTAAAAACTAGATGTGAGACAGAGTATCTTTGATTTCTACTCTAAAAAAAAAAAATTCTGGGAATTAAGAATTCAGAATTCACCTCTGCACGCTGAATGAGCTCATTATACTACCTCTTCTTACTTTTTCGTTTCGTAATACAGCCGTTTATGTCAATATATGTATTTCTTGTTTTCATGCTGATCCTGGCTGTTTAGAAGCTGTGTTGTCTTGTCCATTGAGTTATCCAGTCATTTTGTGTTGCATTTAGTACTTCACTGACAAAAACTGGTTGAAAAATTTAGTTGTATTTGTGTGCATCTTTCCCATTTCCCACTGAGCTTTTCTAGTCACTGTGTGCTGTACTTGGTATTTCTTGATATAAAATATAAGTCTAGCATCATTTGCCAAATCCACATCGAGGTGCAGAAAAAAGACCTTTACTTTTTTTATACAACAAAACACACTCTTTAAAAATCATGCCCCAATTCACATACTCATTTTTACTTTGTCTAAAAGGAATATGTTTTACATTAACATTAAAAAAGTAAAAACACAGCAAAAATCCAGATATGCAGACAGTGCCAAGAATGACAGCAATCAAAAGACTTCAAGTATCTAGGGTTTATAATATCATCCAAAGGAATAACTAGAAGCAGAAATTAAATACAGATGTAATAAATCAAATCAAATAATGTGACAATAGTGTAGAACAAATACATAACAAACTGACACAACAACACTGTGTTACCAGTGCCACACATGGACTTAAAACCACAAAAGAAATAAGGCAAATTGATACCACAGAAAAGAAATATTTGCAATGAATTTTAAATGTATCAAGAAAAGATTAGAATAGAAATGACAATATCAGGAAACCAGCTGGGATGGAACTAGTACTAAACTACTACATCAAGAGACCAAATGGTTCCAACATGTGTTAAGACTACCATCAGATAGTGCATCACTCAGAGCCCTGTCACTTAGACACAACAGAAGCAAAACTAGAGGGCACCTATGCAAGCTATGGATAGATGAAATATCTGAGGCTGTGAATACCAGCACCTACATAGCACACACCAAGTCTCACACAATATGCCCTGCCAAAACCTAATGCTGCGAGGTAGAACAGGTTTAGAGAAAAGGAAAAGAAAGTTAAAAACTCACTTTTACATTGTCCAAGTGCAACAAATCTTTTGCAACAGCTTTCTGTGTGTACTGGAAACTTGAAGGACTAAAGAATACTGCGTAATCGGGCAATCCCTGTAAACATGAACAAATGTAGTCATGGAATATACAGTTGTAATATACTACCAGCCTTACTCGACTAGCATACGGTTGGTTCCTGGGCACATTTGTATTGGACCAACTGTTTCCCAACAAACATGTCATAAAGGTTAAAGTTGACAGGATGAAGGTCACTGCTCCAGGTTTAACCCCATATGGCCAGGACTTTCCACAAAACAGCTCGCCGAGAGTGTCACAAAAGACCCCAGTGGTCTCAGTAAAAATTTCACTCATAAACAGAATGGGGCAGACATGAAACAAACCCATGACCTTGACCACTTCCCCATGGAGACCCCCAGGCATGTCCTCAAGGCGACTAATTAAAGGTCTGCTGAAACGAGATGTGGCGGGCTTCATTAGAAACCACAGTAAAATATGTCAATCACATAAAAAGAAGATTTTCCCCACCCATATCAGCTAACAATATCTTAACTCTTTGAGTACCAGGGGGGTTTAGCATCACAGGCCCAGGGGGTAGTAAAGAAAGTAATAAAATTGGCGCATCATGCGTTCATTGGGCTTCTAGGTAGCAATCTATGAATGTATGATGCATTCCTTGGGGCTCAAAGAGTTAAGCCAGCTTCAGATACTTGAACACATTCAAGATGAGACCATGGTGGTCATTTTATGCTCCACAGGGGATACGCCAGCCTTGTGAATTTGGCATGTAATTTTCTTCTTGACCATTCTGAGCCCTTGAGGTTCATTGTGGCAGATTTTACCAGCCTTCATACATCTCTCTGACTGAACTTCTCTTTCCAGTTGGTGACTCCCAGAAATTTATATGTCTGCCTGGAAATTACCTTTCCACCATTATGTGGGTTTGTCTCGTAGTATGCTCCAGTTATACTCTTTTGTATACACAGTTTCTGACTCCCTGTGTTATGTCATTATATCTATACAGCAACTATTCAACTCGGTATAAGGACAGCAAACAAAATCACAAAAGTACCTTGTAGTTTCCAAAACAATCACTTTGAATTTCTTAGCATAAACTGACTGGCTATATGTAGCTGATTCTAACGAATCATCGTGCAGTTAGAGTCAGAAATCTGATTCTATAACAACTGGTGGTTTTGCGATGACAGCTTGTCGGACCGTCGATCAACCGATATGCGCCGAGCTAGAGAGAAACACGTCCCGCCATCTTGACACAAACCGGAAACCCAAAAAAATAAAAATTCTGGAAGACCTAGACTTCGCCGACGACACAGCTCCTGAGTTCAGAACACACAGACGGGAAAGAAAAAATCAATCGACTCCAGAATTTCTCATGGACAAATTGGACTCCAAATTAACAGTGCAAAAACAAAATTTTGACTTACCAACACTTCAGTTGATATTGCACTGAACAGGAACAGCCTTGAAAAAGTCAACAGTTTCACTTATCTAGGGAGCAAGATGTCATCTACAGGAGCACGCACCAGAAATGATTAGAATAGCACTGGCATCTAGTGTCAATAAACTGTCTAACAGATGGAAATCAAAGACACTTAGCAAACACACAAAACTCAAGATCTTCAATTCTTGTTGATTCTCTACTAACCTATGGATGCGAGAGTTGGAAATCAACGAAAACTCTAGACACAAAATTAGACAGTTTTGAAAATAAATGCCTTAGAAGAATACTAAATTTCAAATGTGTCAGATTTCGGAACCAATACACAAATAAGGCAAGAATCCAGGCAAGAGTATGTGTCTAATTTTAGTTGGAAAACGCCGCAGGTAACTATGTCGGCCACGATCTTGAATGGATAAATCCACTTCCTTACCAAGCCCTCTTTTGGACACCACAAAAGATCTCGTGGAAGACCTGTGGAAACCCTACGTATAACTATATCAGGAAGGCTCGCTCATGGGCCACTCAAACATCCAAGACTACAACGGATTGCAACGGACCGCCGTGCATGGAGAGTCACGACCTCTGCCCTATGTGCCGCACTCGACACAAGAGGAAAGACTATATGTAGCTACCAACTCATTTGGTACGCTGTTTTGTAACATGAAAAAATAACCAATCACACATCTTGGTGTTGCTTGGAACAGAAAATATCACACCTGTAAAGTTAAAGCTTCTCGTAAGGCCTCTTCCATGTTTTCATTAGGACACGTTTCATAGGAAACCACTTCGGTCAGATTTAACCCTGTAAAAACATAAAGAGTGATAGGTCAAACTGTAATGAAAGAATTTAAAAAGAAAAAAAAAATGTGTTTTTGTTGTTAGCAGGTTTCTTCTTCTTCCCCTTCACCAGCTGTAAACTCCAGTGGAAAGTTCTGGCTGTTCGTCTACTCCTGGATTTTGGTCTTGTTCCAGAACTTTAGTATTGCATACACATCTGTTTTACAGAACTGGCTTATTTATCTTCAGAATGTTGATTCATCACCTCTCAAGTGATGCACTTTGACTTAAAGGTACACCTCTAATTGGTCGACTTCTACTACAGGTTTGTGCCACTAAAACCGGCACAAGACGATCACCATTTCACAGAAAGGCCAGAGCAAGTCATTATTCTACTCCTTAGAACAGGACACAATCGACTTCGCAGCCACATGTACACAAAATTTCAAATCGGCGAATCAGCCATGTGAACATGTGGATTAGCACCTGAGACAACAAATCATGTCCCTAAGACTGTCCCGAATACAACATATCAAGTCAAAACTTTGGGCCAAGAAAAACATCAGTGCAAGTCAAACTTTACGGCTCACTGAGTGAATTACAAAAGACAGTGAAGTTTAATACTGCACAACATACAGACAACATTGCAGATATAGATAAATTATTTCAAGCGAACAAAAGAAGAAGAACTACATGTTTGTTGGGGCTAGGGGTAGCAGGTCTATCTCCCCCCCCCCCCCCAAAAAAAAAAAAAAACTGAGACAGGAACCCACAGGAGAAACTAACAGGTTTAATGTTCAGCCTTTATGTGAGATGCTATGATAACTTTAGTCTCAGATATGCACACTGTGAGTTTCTATGCATGTCCGTTATGTTGACAAATTGAGGACTTCCTTTGAAGTCCAAGTGCATCTGCTCGAGCAGCAAGGAACAACCAACTGCACACACAAATAAGCCAGCAAAATGGATGTACACACAAAACTCAGACCCTGGCACAAAGGCAAAGTTCAAATGGATGAACAACTAGAACTTTCCGCACTAAAGCTTACAGCCATTGCACAAAGAAGAAGAAGAGTGCATCTGTCTAAAAGGCAAGGAGACAACAGACTGCACACAACACTCAAGTCCTGTAGTAAGTCCATAAGCAGATGAACAACCACGACTTTCAGCCAGAGTTAATAGCTGGTGAATGTCAAGAAGAAGAAAACTGGTTCCTTAAGTCTTTAGCAACAAGTGTGTTGAAATTTTCCTTACCCACTAAAAGATAATGTTTTTGAGAAAAGCTAAAAATAGAAGTCAAGACTGCTAGATAAAAAGACCAGGAACTTTGAATATGCAAATGAAATGAAAAGACATCAGAAGAAAAACTTACATTTAAGTATGTTTCTGATATATATATGTGAACCCCCACTGTCTGTAAACACTGTCACTACTGTCTGTAAACACTGTCACTACTGTCGTCACTACTGTCAGTATGTACCACTTTTTAGGGCAGTGTAGACAGGAGGCTGTGAGCCTGAGGATTTAGGGTCGCACGGCTAGTGCTGTTGCCACGGACTGTACAGGTTAAGATGTTTAATTTTGAATCAGACAGAAAAAAAAACTGTATAACAATCAATATGCACAGCAAACACACATATTTACTTAATAACTGATATATGCACCAGACACACATCTACTTAACAATTTATATATACAGTACATAATATGTATGCAATAACAATCAAAATACTCAGTATACACACACACACTTCTACTCAGTAACAATCAATATATACCACCAGAATAACACACAAGCCAGAAATGGATAACCATACCTCTAAGCTACTTTATTCCCCATACAAAGAGTATTTCACCCTTATATGTACAATATTTATCATTTTAAAAAAATTAAAAGTGTATTTTTAAAACCATCTCAGTGACCTCTAATAATATTTAACCCTGATCCACACTTTACTATTTCATCTACACATTTATCCTTAATAATATTTCACCTGATTTCATGTTTTCTTTATGAGTATCAGTGATTAATTTTTCTTATTATTAACCAAAATAATTAACATACCATGGCTGGTCAAAATGCCTGGCAGAGTGTCACGATGTATATTAGAACAAGGATACAATAAAGGCTTGGTTTTATCAGGACCAACTGTGAAAAAGATATTAATACACGTTTTTATCACCTTTTCTATCACATAAAAAAGGAGAAGAAACCAAAAACCAACTCACAAAAAGTAAGAAAGATCACTGAGAATTAGCAAAAGAGGATGACACAGATAAAACCAAAACTTTTTTCTATTTCACAATAAAAAAACAGATTACAATTTGGTTTCACTGAGTGCTTATTTTTCAATAAGGCTGTGCAAAGAAAATCAAAGGTGCCACTACTGGGGACTGAGAACCAGAACCTGTAGCACTCGTATATACTGGCGGACACCATAGCCAGGAGACCAAAAATCACATCATTTATTTTTATTTCACATTTTGTACCTGAAGAAAGCAATACCGGTAACTGGCACCTTTGTTGTTCGCCGATGAACTGTACACAGCGCCTTGATAACATTTCATTCTGAATTCCTGTGATGTGTGATTGACATTTAACATTTCCCCAGACACAGAAAATCTATCTGCCCATATTTTCTCGACATTCCAGCAGACTGGTTAATTTTTTTCCATTTATTTCACCTTGTTGCCAAAACAATATGTTTGAATTTGAAAGGTCAAAAATTAAAAGAATGAAGGGCATTTTTTATTCCAATCTATCTTCAAATATTTTTATATCTTTCACATGGAACTTCCTCCCAGCTGCTTGGCTTCCGTTTTTCTTGTGCATTACTCACTGCTTGCAATAAAAATTTACAACTGCAACGTGCTGCCATGTGGCCCATCTTTTACTGTCTACAAATAACTACTTGTTTCGTGTAGTTAATTCTAAGAAAATTATTTGTTTCTAAAACTATCCTCTCAGAAACAGTCTGCGGTCCATTCACGCATACAGCCTATACACTCGTAAATACAGTAGGCTGGTAGTCCCATACAAGTTATTAACAACTAGTTGTGAACCATTAGAAGTTTACAATTCATGCCAAGACAGCAAGACAGGGTGGCCATTCCTTTCCATCTCAGATAATTGTCAAATTTGTCTGGTATCACTTTTTGTGAGACTGCATCGACTTTAGAGCCATCCTGGCCAGAAAAATGTAATCTACGTGTGCTGATGGTGATGTGTGCAAGTGGGACATGAATGATACAGGTACTGAAATAGATTCACAGCAGCAGGATACCATGGATAGTGTTAGATGGAAGGGGAGAATCAGGAAGGGAAAAGTAATAAAGGGGAAACAATGAGAGATAAAGGTAAGAGACAAGAGTGAGAGATTTAGAGGACGTAAAGAAGAAGAAGTAAGAGAAGAAGAACAATTAGCATTTTCTAGGTGAATCTATGAAAGATGCATTCCTTGGGACTCAAAGAGTTAAAACTTAAGGATTTTAAATTTATAATATCTCACCTTCATGTAAAATGAACTCAGCCAATGCTTTGGCATTTCCACTATTTTCACCTTTAGGACTGAAGCCAGACCGTTTTGCTGGACAAAAGAAATGTCAACGTAAATCAATCATCGACAGAGGGATTTGTGATGGATAATACTTTTGAAAGTAGTTTTTGGCTTGTGAAAATATAAATAAATTACTTACTTAATGGATCCTCTTCTATTCTGCGGTATACAGAGGTTTGCCAGAGAGATCACCAAATGGTGAGCAGCTTCATCCAGAGTTGAAACACAATACAGTGAGCAGCTTCATCCAGAGTTAAAACACAATACAGTGAGCCGCTTCACCCAGAGTTAAAACATAATACAGTGAGCAGCTGCATCCAGAGTTAAAACATAATACAGTGAGCCCCTTCACCCAGAGTTAAAACATAATACAGTGAGCCCCTTCACCCAGAATTAAAACATACATATGGATTTTATGAAAATAAGTCAAATCTACAGTCATGATCTCAGAAAATTCTACTCAAGAAGCTGTGTGAATGCACAGCTGCCCCTTTGACAGGCATGTTCAGCAGTGACTGCATCACACTGGCTCTCTAGCATTATGGACTTTAATACAAACATTACGATCATTATACACTGTAAGTCACTATCTGCATTATATTTTCTGATTCTACGAATTGTTTAATAATCTACGGAATGTTGACTTAAAAACTGGACATACCAGCATCAGCTGTGGTATTCCCAACAACAAAACTTTGCTTCTGAAAAATGGACTTCTCCGTTTCAAGTTCTGTAGACAGAAAACATATTTTGTAAGAGATATTTCATTTACATAGTCACTTTTAATCTATTTTTGTGAGAGTGAGAACGCATACTGAAATTTCACTACAATCAAAATGCACATTACAATCAAGAGATTTTGCTAAAACTGCAACAATCATAGCAGAAAAAATATAAAGTGAAACAGGTTTCCATAATTCAGCATTTAAGATTTACTTTTTATGGTAGTCAGACATTTTAGTTAGAAAATACCTGTTGGTCGTCTACCTTTTTATTCAGAATTCTGAGCCCTTGAGGTTCAATGCTACATATTATCCTGTTTGACTCCACCCAAATTCAAGACAAAAATAATAAGTTTCGTGGTGAAATAAAATTTTACAAAGGTGGGGGATCATTTCTTCTTCTTCTGCCTTTCTAGCCCACAATGGAGCATAGGTTCTCAACCATTCATGCCAAGATCTATCGTTCTATCTTTTGCCATCGCATGCAGCTCTTTCCATGTCCTCCCCATCTTTCTAACTTCTTTCTCCAGCTCCCTTCTCCATGTGTTTTTTGGCCTTCCATTCTTCCTATTCCCCTGTGGGCTCCAGTAAAAAGACATTCTAGTTATATTGTTCTCAGGTTTTCTCAATGTGTGTCTTATCCAACGCCAGCATCTTTTCTTCACCTCTTGGTCCACTGGAGCCTGCTTATCTCATTTAATGTTAATTAATTTCTGTAGGCATTTGTTTCAAATGCATGTACATTTAATTCCATGTCTTTAGGTTATTCTCCAACTTTCACTGGCAAATGTTAAAACTGAAATAATATTTGGATTTCACATTTAAAAACTATACAATAGTGGTTTGTGTGCTGGCCTTGCAAGACAGTGGTCCAACAACCTCTAGCTGAGGCATGATTATTTGTCTGACTTGTATGATTCTGTGGTTGACCTAACCATAGAAGTATGGTTTCTGAGGAAGATAGAAGGTTCTGCATGTTGCTTTTCTAGCTACCTCAACCACAGAAATCCAGCTGCTGTAGAGTTTCTCTGATGTTACTTTTCCATATTGTTCTTGGTCTACATCCGTCTCCTCTTTTAGTATTTGGCCTTGTATGGTATGGCGTCACAAGGCATTCTCTTTAAGTGGGCAAACCATTTAATTTGCTGTCTTTGAATGTAATTAAGAATTGGTCCGGCGCCAACTTGTTCTCTGATGACCCCATTCCTGATTTCTTAATCTCTTATAGTCACTCATGCAGCTCTTCTCAGACATCTCTTTTCCATGGTTACACACCTAACCCATTCTTGGGGGATTTAAACACACGTCCACAGAATCAGCAGACAAGCCACTGCTCTACCATCGCTCCACAGATAAAATCTTTACTCAGAATATATGACATATACCTTTGGCAACACTAACAACAGCCTCCACTGAGCGGACACTGGTGAATATGATGGCTGAGAACAGATGAATAGCTGACAAATGGCTCCGCAGCAGCGACTGGTTAATGAATCGAAAAGAAAGTACTGGAATTGTTACACAGGAAAATCCAGCTTCTTCAATGCTCTGTTAATATAAAACAAAAATACTTCATTATTAAGTAAACTTTCTACTCATTTCAAACAAAATTTAGAGTGAGAACGCATACTGAAATTTCACTACAATCAAAATGTACATTACAATCAAGAGATTTTGCTAAAATGCAACAACCATAGCAGAAAAAATATAAAGTGAAACAGGTTTCCATAATTCAGCATTTAAGATTTACTGATATATTTAGCTACTGAATATAATCATCACATTCTTAAACGTCGACTGATTTCGAAGCTTTATTTGTCGTGCGGATCATTGTTGTTCGTCCATCTCTTGATGATATCTTTTCATTTCTATCGCTGATTTTACCTCATTGTGGTCACTTGTATTTCACTTTAAATCTGGTTTTTGTAAGAGTTTTAAGTTTGTAACATGGCTAAAAAACTTCATCTGCCTTTTGTCTTATTTCTTTCAGCAATGCTGAGGTCTCAAGGATTTAGCGTCCTTTGGATATTCTCTCTGAGTCATGCAGGAGTGTTGGGAAATGAACAAGCAGAAAGATTTGCTGCTTCTGCACCAATGGGTGGTGAATTTATGAATGACAAGCTATATGTCAAGGCGCTTTGGCAGCAAGTGAACAATGCGTAGGCAGGTATAGATCATTATGGTCAGGAGAGAAAGGTACAGCTAGGAGTGACCAGTGGAATATGGTAGGCACTCTACACTCAGAGAAAAGGAAAGACAGGCAAAAATCCAAACTGCTGCTGGCACCATCAAAATTAGAATTATTCATTGGCTGCTGAAGATGAAGACAGAACACTTATGAAAACATCCTGAGTACTGTGATGTCAGTTCTCAGCTCAACACTCAACAATGCTCTTTTCATTTCCAGTACCTCCAAAACAAGTGTTTTTGACTTATTTTTATTTCATGAAAATATGAACTATTCTCCTGTGTATCCATATCTCCATGACCTCAATACAACTTTCTAGTTCCCTGTTAATTTTCCAACTTCTAACTCTGTGGCTCAGAGGTTAGTAAAATTATTTCACAATGCAATACTCAATGTTTCCAGAGTTTGATCCCTTGGGTTGTCATTTAGAAAAAAGAATATTCTCATGGCTTTCAAAGAGTGGTATGAGAGTGATACTGTGGAAGAGACTTGGGTCTCACAATCCCTAATACTGCATTAACCCATGGCACGTTTTCCCCAGCAGTGGATACATAACTGCATCATAACTTCTCATGGTCATTGAAAATGGTTATTCAAAATGGGATGCACTTTTATTTTTCCCCAGGCTTCTGCCCCATACAGTATGGTAGAGTTTGACCAGCAAAACTGTATCAAAGCTGCAAACTGTATCACAGCTGCAATGAACTCAGTAACACAAGAGATACTTCTTTGTGTGTGGGATGAATCTGGCCACCGCTTAGATGTTTGCCGAGCAGCAGACAGCAGCCATATCGAACATCTATAACCACTGTTGTAAGTTTGTAAACTTTAAACCTTTCCCTCTTTCGTGTATGTTCATAATTAATATGTCAGGTATATTCAAGAAAATGTACATGAATAAAAGTGTATGCAACATTTTGAATAACCCTATATCGGTGATTATTTCTATTCTCTAACCCCTTCAGTATTTAAAAAAAACTGACTGGACAGTTTCTTGGTCATTTTTAAGATAATGTGATGATTTTGCTGTTGTCTATCACAAACAAAAGTTATATTAACTCTTTGTAACTGGATTATCAGTTTAAAATTCTTATTCATCTATGCCCACCCAAAGAGTTAATTGTTTTGTGCCAATTTACACCAAGGCTGTGATATTTGTACTTTTCAGCGGACACATCAGAATTTTGCAGGCATTTGTTGTCCTGGTTAACATTGTTATTTTGTGGGACACTGCAGTCTCATTGCTATGAGGTCATCTTTGTTTCCTAGTTCACGGGCTGTGCCCCCCAGTAGGCCTGCCCAGAGCAGCCACGTAATGCTGGTCAAACATCAAGAGAAGGCAGGGGCAGAAGATAAGCATTCCTCACCATCCAAGGAGGCTTCTATAAATTTTGGGCTAATATATGGTGCTCTGTTGGCTCTGTGGCTAAGTCGATGCGAATGCTTTGTAATGCCGGGGTACCGGGTTCGATCCCAGCTGCGGGCCATGGGCCTTGCGTTGGGTTTCGACAGTGGTATTAGAGAGCCGACCGTTCAGTAAGCAATGGCAAACTACTGGACGTAATTTGCCTAGTGAAACCACACAACAGCCAGGGGCTGATGGGGTTGGTTCTGCAACGTCCTGTAAAGGATACGCAACTAAACCTATATGGTGCTCTGGTACTAGGCTCACCGATTGAATCGTAAGGTCCTGTTCATGACCGTTTCACCACACTTCTGTATATAGAGCCTCTCATTCATCAGGGCACCTTTAAGAAGCAAGCAGGAGGGCAGCCTGCAGATCTGGAACTCTGATTACCTTTACAACTGAGTTTGCTTGATTTTGACTTTGCTTCTTATGCATGTTATTAGCTTAACCAGTGCTGACCCATAGTGTCTAAGTTGAACTCCATTAGGCTTCAGTAATTACTGCTTTAAAACTGAACTACATGGGGTCTTTTTTCTTTTCTCTACTCCTGAAATGCCTTGCGGTGTCAGGGCAGAAAGAGATCTCTGGAATGGGCCCTTCTGTTCACTTTGTATCAGAAGAAGAAATAGAAGAAGCAAAAGAAGAAGCATAAGAAGAAGAAGTAGGAGAAGAAAGCAGAAGAAGAGAAGAAAAGAGAAAGACAGAAAAGAAGAAAAAGAAAAGAGAGAAGAACCTGAAATACCGGGGGTATGAGAAGTTAGATTGGTATTGAAAAAGTTAGGAGGTTACAATATTTACCTCTGTAAATTTATCAACTTCATTTTCTTTAGGACTCTTGAACAGAAAAACTGTTTTCTTTTTCATTGAGTTGTCCGTAGCTTCTGTTTCTTTGCTGTCCATTGGCTTTTGAAAAAAACATTCAGAGATACTGAACAAATCCAATGCCCTGAAACATTAACAAACAATGAAAAGTAAATATAATGAAGATAAAAGTATATAAGCCTTTAATATATACTATATCCCAGTGTGGGTTCTGAGGGTCAATTTTAGGGCGGAAAAAAAAAAATGATACACTACCTCTTAACAAGCAAGAGGTAAAAAGCAATTTATTAAAGGTGTGCTGAAATCCAAGAGGCACAAATATTGCAGCATAGCTGTAGATAACAATACAATGTGCCAGTTGCCTCTGTGTATGTGCAGTTGTTGTTGCTACTAGTGCAATCTGATCTGGCTACAGAATCCCCAAAGAATTATTTGCGCCAGCTTGTTTTACTGTGACAACAGGAATGTTGAAAGGGAAGAGATACAGAGGAAGGCGAAAACAGAAAATGTCGGACATGGCAGAGAGGATCATCGGTATCAGAAATGACTTCCCTGTATGGTATCCAGGGCCCCATAGGAGCTGTGTGTGTGGGGGGAGAGGTGGGGGTTGGGGGGTTGGGAGGAAGAGGAGATTTTACTGTAAATTCTGTGCAAGGCAACTAATTAGGGGGTTTTTCTTTTGAGTCTGGAGTGTATCTGCCTACATACAAATAAATTGGACTTGCATGCAAAACTCAGGTTCTGGAACAAGATGAAAGTCCCGGTGTGGTCAAACAGTCAGAGCATTACGCTGGAGTTTTACAGCCGGTCAACTTGAAGAAGAAATGATTGACACAACATGAGACAGAAGGCTCTAGGTGAATATGATTACCAACAGCATATGGCATAAGTCACAAGATAAAGTGTCTTTCGCTCAGGTAAAAAAGTGCATGTCATACACAAACACCACTCAGTCCCCATGAAAATGTAACAAAAAGCATCACTTGCCAACTGATGTGAGGATGGAAAAAGAAAAAAAAAAATATGTGTTTGTAAGGAAATATAATACATATTGATGAGTAAATCAGGCATGATATTGACCTCAGCACCCATCAAGCACCGAAAGGTCTGTAATAATATGCGTCTTGCATCAAATGCCTGATATGCCAATGGCATGTAAAGAGACCTTTACTTTACTTTTATATCATCATCATCATCATATCCTTTCATGTGCTGCTGGTGTTAAATTGCTGAATCAGCATTTCCCTATTCATGTGTAAATCCCCTTATATTTTTAGTTTAGACATTAATTTCAACACAAGCCTTGATATCTTGGTTTATAATTGAATATAGGCATACAAATAGGGCATTTTATTGGCTATCCAGTTTAACTGGTTAAATTGTTTATAAGTAAAAAATAAAAAAAGCAGCCGCTAAAGTACCATCCGGGCCATCTTAATCTTACCAATTGAGATCTTTGGCCAAACGAGCTGCGCCTTGCTGCGATCATACTTAGCCGAGTTTCAATGGCGTAGCAGCCACAAACAGCAGATTTTCAAGCACTATTTAGAACATATGTGCCATAATTTCCAGAAATAAAGGCATACAATTATCGCTAAGTAGTCAATTTGACATAACTTTTTTTCGTTCCTTATTAGTTTTGACTTCAATTTTTGAATGTTTACAACACATATCACGTGACTATGGCTCGAAAGGATATTTTACGGCCGCCATCTTTACCGACCGTGAGTCGGAGGATAGCCAGATCTTTCATTGTATACTATATTGTTGACGTTTCTCACTAGCATCTCCAGTCCCCCTTTTCGTAATAATAACTTATATGAGACTGAAGTAACGACTGCATCTTTTTTGTGTGTGTGTGTGGTGATTATGATAATTTCCAGACTAATCTAGAATGTATTAATTTAATTATAATTATTAACGCTTTGTTATATTAATCACTTTACAGTAGAAAGCAGTGAAGTGCAGTGGTGGACGAAAGTCAGTCAGATGACAAACCAAGCTCAGCTGATACTACACTAACACTCTAGTAAACTAGTTGCTTTCAAAAAAAAAAATTACAGATGATAATAATTTTTAAAATAACATAAAATGCAGCATACGAAAAATTAATAATTATTTCTTACACTGTAACTTACTGTAAGTATTAGTTAGTCAGTTAGCACTTTTAGATTGTCCACTTCTCCATGTTTCCATCCACATTTTTAACTTAACACAACCAGTGTTGCCACTTTTCTTTGACAAAACATATCCAAAACGGTGTCCAAAAATATATAAAAAGATCTAATTCTGCGTGGGAAAGATCTAAAAAAACATCCAAATTGAAAAAGTCAAAAATTACATAGCTTTTGTTATGACTCACCCTACATAATCATGTCCTCACCTTCACTGATGTCTGCCTCACAAGATCCACAGGATAAACTTAGCTTGGATAATGAAGTTGAAGCTTCAGATCCAAAATGACCCTGGTATGCTTTCATTCATTCAGTAGCATGTCCCTCGCGGAACCTCGCTGCCATAACAACCCTCCGGAAAACCTTCCTATCATGAGCAAGATGTCCTGCGTCTGATACACCCATCTGGAGATCATCTGCCACATCCTGCACCCATCTTCTCCTTGGCCTTCCTCTTCCTCTCTTCCCAGGCATATACCCCTCCATTATTGTTCTCTCTAGACCTCCATGACGTTTCAAGTGACCAAAATATTTCAATTTTCTTTGTTTTATTGTCTTTACTAGCCAACCCTCTTCAATATTCAGCTCTTGAAGTATGGATGCATTTGTTCTTTTCTTTACCCAAGATATTCTTAGAACCTGTCTGTAACATTTATATTCAAATGCATTTATGCGCTGTTCCGCTTGTTTAGTAAGTGTCCAGGTCTCACAGGCGTATGTTGCAATGGGAAAGATGCATGCTCTTAAAAATCTGACCTTTGTAATTCTATCTGTACAATTCCATAATTTATTCAGTTGTTTTAGTCTTTGAAGAGCAATTGATAGTCGCCGTTTAATTTCTTTCATTGTGTCACCATTGTTGGTAACCAGTGACCCTAGATATTCGAAATTTTCCACCACTTCCAATCTTTCCTCATTAACATATATTTCTTTCTCCATGTGGTATGCTTTAGCTGTTCAAATTTCTTTATAAGTGGAACAGTAGGCTTGTGTCTCTAGTCTCATCAGGCCGAATTTGAATGGCACGATAGCATTTAAGAGGTCAAATTTCATCCTGTTTTTTTAGGTTAGATTCGATATAATTCCTAGCACTGAAAACTCTTTCTACGTCAGCATTTGAGTGGGGTAGTATCATTTCAGACATGGCACTTTTAAAGAGCTTACAGAATGGACTGTTTGATGAGGCATCATTAAATTGTCTCACTTAACTCCAAAAGGCTTTAGTTTATGTTTTGTTTGTCCATTCAGCTAACTTTATTTTGGTTACCTGATATTCTGCTTCCGCGACGCTATTACCAGTAGCCCCTAAAAATTTCATAACTTCACAATATTTGGGTACGTCCTTTATTGGCTGAAGTATGTTGCTCACAGAAAAAAGTGAAATATTTTTCAAAACATCTAGATTTTCAGGAAGTCTCTGCTTTAATTGCTTCAATAATGAGATAAGGAAATCTTGACAGCGTTTTCTCAAGCTGTTCTCTTCATTCTCTGTTAACAGTCCTTTTGTTTTTAAATCATCAATTTTTGATTGGATTTAATATCCAAGGTGTGGCTTAGGAGCCAAGTAGCTCTTTATAGTGCAAGTGAGCTAATCAGCTTTAGAAGTTGACAACACCAGTCTTTTACCGAGTGAAATAGCAAGGTGAGATCATCAAGTAATTTAACTTTATCAACAAGTTTAGATTCGAAAAGTTTGTTAACTTTTTGCACTTCCATTAGAATAGGTTATAAAAAGAGAATAAATGTCAAATTTTTTTCATCACTGTAAATTCCATATAGTATTTCAGCTGTGTAGCACTTTTTAATTTGTCTTGTTTTTCAAAGTGTGTCTTCAACTTCAGCCATTGCTTCATAATTCTTGCAACAGCTGGTTAAATTGATAACCATCTAGTTATGCAATCTGACAGAATTGTCGGTGGTGTGGAACCATCATTCAAGAGTGTATATAATGTATTGTATTGCTGTTTTCTGACAAATGATTTGGAAAACCAGTAAAGTGTTTCAGCAATAAGGTATTCCAAATTCCTTGGTAAATATTTAGATAAAGCATGTGATAATGCTAGCTGCAATGAATGACGCATACATTTTATAAGTATTAAAGATGGGTTAGCTTCCTTTAACATGGCATAAACGCCATTGTTTATACCAACCATCATTGAGGCATTATCAGTACCAATTACAGCGAAATTCTTCAAGCCTAACTGTTTGCTGATTAAAAGGTCCTTCAGTTCCTAAACTTTACTTTCTACATCACACTTTTCAAATTGAACTAGTCCAAGATTTTTTACAAATCGATCAAATGGTCACAGTTTGAAATTGCACAGTGACAAATTAAAAACATTGCGACTGATATTTCAACTTTTGATGATTCATTTATCAGTATAGTTCTGAAAACAGATGTCAGCGGTGTAATATCTTTAAATGAAACTGCAGTTTTATGTTTTGTATTTTCGCTTTAATTTCACACTTGCTGTACTTACAACAAGCTTTGGTCATATCCCCAGTTTTTAATTTTGTCATCATGCAACCACTCTTTCCAAATTTTTTGCTCATACTTTACTTTTGGCATGTTCAAAGGTTTTTTTAAAGTGAAAGCCACATAAGAAGGTGAGCAATTATTTTTTTTAAATCACATGAAAAAGAAACGCAAAGTCAGCACAGCGAGGATACGGTTGAAACAAAGTAAGTATAATTTACGCACGTTTTTATTAATCAGTACCGGGGCTGCCAGATATTTTCACGTTGACCCCAGTGAGAGTTCAAAGTTCAAGTAATGGCAGTTGTCACAATGTACGTGCCAGACCAAAACTAAAATTTTGTAGTAAATATTTTGCACAGTAATTATTAAATTGACAATGAAAGAAGAAC